GCAGGAATGGGAGTATTGAGCAATCAAAAGGGAGATTTTAGTTCAGGCAAGAAATTAGGAAGGAATGAAAATAAGAAAAATGCATCTGGCAGCTGAGAAAAATAGGAAATCAATGAAGAAAATCTCTACTGTTGAAAATTTGGGAAAACATGTAGATGTAAGTTGTAGTGATATAAAATTCAGTCTACTTATAACAATGACTCTTCGCCAAAATGTTTGGATCTAATCATAAGCATTAGTCTTTTTATTTAAGTCAAGCATGCACGTAAGGAAAAAAAGTTCAAATGATATAACTTTCTGCAGCAGGTGTGCACTAGCCTCTACTATTGGTAGAACTGTGCCCCAACACATAATCATGAGAGAAAATAATAAATTACTTCTTTATTTAAAGTTAAAAAGGATACTTGTTAATTATTACCCACCAGTTTTTTTTTTTTTTCACGTATAAAACCAAAACTGTATGGCTAAAAAATTCCCATGAAAAAGTTCATAGTCTCAGGCAAAGTCAAATAGAGACCTGATCAAAATATTTTCAGCATAATCAGAGGAAGTATAAGGCGGTAGTTGAATTCGATCAATTTGATAGGACAACTCAGCAAATATGCTTTGCCGACTTCAGCTTGGCTCACTCGGATAACATGACATGTGTTAGTTCAATCAGAATGGACGCCCAATCAGTTCAGCAAATCAATTGAGCAAGTCTAGGTGACTTCATCAATTCACCTTACAGAGAGAATAGTTTGGCAAATGCGCTCCGCCGACTTCAACTTGGTTCTTTCAGAAAACATGACATGTCAGTTCAAATCAGTTTATTCAACTAGAACAGTTTGCCCAATCAATTTGACAAATCAATTCAACAAGTCAGGGAAACTCCATCAATTCACCTTATCACCGGGCAAAGCTTTTTTTTTTTTCAATAGTAGGCCCAATCCCAATTATATAAGGCATATATGATTGATTCATGTGTTTTAGGTTTTCAACTTTGGTGAGTTTTGCCCGGACAGTTGTCGGCGACTCCAGCCTTCTCCTTCTAAAGTTGCACCCAGGGCAAAGTGATGCTATTGTTGTATCTCGTTCTGACGAGGTGATTCTCCTCCAGAGGTCGAGTGGTGCCCCGGCTATGCTACCAATGTGGCATTCATCTCCGACTTTCCTTGCCCCACATCCACCCCATTACTTCTGACCACCCCTTCCCTGCTGCAGTCACTTGGAACAATCTCCTATTGTTGTTTTCTACAGTTCCTGTTGTACGGATGTCTTTCGCCCACTTCCTTCATTACTGCAGCGACGTTGTTGTTCATTTGTTGTATTCCTGCACCGGCCGCCAACCACTACTTGTGTTGCTTCCCGCAGCCTCCACCCTTCCTGCATTTTTGTCATCATCCGGAAAACAAAGAACTCCATCCGCCCTCTACTCACTGCCACTCCAAGAAAACTACTCCAACCATTGTTATACTTCATCACAATGCCCATACTATCATTCCCACCACTTGCCACCCCTTCCAAACCATAACCGACCACCACCACCCTTGAATGGAACCATAATGTGAGTTTTGTGTGTCGTGTCTACAGTTAATTTTCCTTTTAGTGTATTAGTTGTAACCGCCTATTGCCTTCTCAGCAAAAATATTTGGTTTTCTTAGTGTTTTTGGGTTAACTCCGCTATAATACTCAGTATTTGTCGTCTTGTTAACATTGAAACATATAGATAAATATTAAAAAGAAAATCCTTTATTACTTATAAAACTAGTTCTCTCCTGAAAATCCAGCACAAACATAAATAACAAAATAAAGAAGTTTCAGCACAAAAAATAAGCGCATTCTATCTCATAATTCTATCTCATAAAAAACTTTATAGTTTTTATTTAACAAGGCTCTCAAAAAGATGAACATTACTAAAAATTTACAATAACAAGAAATTTAAATAAACTCTACAACATATTTGCTAGAATAAAAAGGAGATAGGAGCATACAACTAGTTACTTCTTTAATAGTGAAGAGGAAATTTAAAAAAATTCATTATTAGTAAAAAAAGTATTCATACAATGAGACCTCGAAGCTTATTTTTTCGGTGAACAACTACGTGTGATAAGTAAGTCGAAGGATGGTACTCCATGAAGAAATTGTCAATAGTTTCACTGAGGGAACACCCACTATGTGAAGGAATACCACTAAAAACAACTGTAAATTGTTGAGGTTGTGGCATGGATGCATTGAATTGTTCAAGCCTTTTAAGAGAAATATACTTGTATTCCTGCAAAAAAATAAATAAATAAATAAACACTCATAATTAATTTATAGTGGTAAACACAATCAGTTTTTCATGCTTACAAAAGTACAGAACAAGTAATCAAGCCACAAAGATCCTAAATAAAGACCCTCTATAATTCAAATAATAATATGTCATCAGTGCAAGAGCAGACCGCACAAAGCCATCCATTCAGCGCATGGCTAAAGACCATTCTTATAAGGGGCATTTACTTACATACCACTCAATTCCTATGTATTTACATATCTAACACCTAAATTTTGGATTTTACATTTATACCACCCAAATATTTCATATGACAAAAAATACCACTATTTTAACATTTAAAAAGTGAAATACACCTTTTCCTACATGGGTAAGGTCGCATATATGTAAAAATTAAAGTTTAGGTACTGGATGTGTAAATACATAAGAATTAAGCGGTATTCATGTAAATCTTCCTTCATATAATTGGCAGAAGTTGCTCTAGGAACATTGCCTGCAGTAATAATATTGATCGAACTAATCCAGTTATACTAATCTAATAGAAAATCTAGACAATGAAAAAAAAAAAGAGGCGTCAAAATTATCATTCCAAAGGATCTTTAGAAGTATAAAACATATGAAAAAATTCATTTAAAAAAAAAGTGACTTACAGAATGTAACAGATATAATACAACTCCCGTGATAACATATGCAGCAGAGAAATGAGCCCATAACCTGAGCAAAGCATTAAAGAAAAAACCATATGAATTACAACAATATATAATACCATAACCAAGCTTCATAGTTTAAATTGGTATCATAAGTCATAGAGGCAGTTGCATGACAAGATAATAGTGAGAAAGGGATTAATAGAAATAACCACAAATAGACCTGGAAACAATCATCTGCTAAAAGAGAGGAATACTGGACAAAAAATTTAAGTTTCTTTGCGTAAACTAGCCAGTTAAGAAAAATTAATAGAAAAATATACAAAAGGGCTCGATGCAACACTAGCAACTAACGCGAACAAGGGGCTCTCAGATGCAGGAACGCAAGGAGAGCTGCACTGTGCGGTTCA